CTGGAAGTCACTCCCTGCCAAGCCTTATCTATAAGGCCTATGCAGTGGAAGATATTGAATTACAGTGGTCCCTCAATAATCGTCCGGCCTGATTGTCGTCCATTTCGGAAATCGTCGTGTTATTTTATCCAAACATTGGCTTGCAAATGGTCCGTTAACTTGCTAATCGTCTTTCGTCCTGGATGTGTACTCATGGCTCTGAGCCGCCTCGGCCTCCCTTCCCAGCCAGTGTGCCATTGTTTACCAGTGAGCGATGGTCCCCTCACATGTTCATACAAATATTTCATAATATTCCATTCATTTTAGTGCTTGCAAGTGCTAAATAAGCTAGCATGGCTCCAAAGAAAGCTCCTAGTGCCAAGCCTTTGGTAAAGAAGGTGAGAAATACGATTGAATTTGAGAAAAACATCATGGAACAATATGAAAGTGGCGTACATGTGGGCGAACTGGCCAGGATGTATAACAAATCCCGTACAACCATATCTTCCATCATAGCCAAGAAAAAGGAAATCAAGGAAGCTGTTGTTGCAAAGGGGGTAAATATGCTGATAAAAATGAGATCACAAGTACTCGAAGATGTTGAGAAGTTATTATTAGTGTGGATAAACATTTTATGACGTTGATTATTTGTGAAAAGGCTAGGCAGTTGCATGACGATTTGGTAAAGGCTGGTTTGAGCAAAGGCTGGTTTGAGAGATTTAAGAAGCGTACTGGCATACACAGCGTGATAAGGCATGGTGAGGCTGCCAGTTCGGACCAAAACGTGGCTGAAAAATATGTGCAGGAATTCAAGGAGTACATAGAGGCTGAAGGACTGAAACCTGAACAAGTGTTCAATTGTGATGAAACAAGCCTCTTTTGGAAGAAAATGCCAAAGAGGACCTACATTACTCACGAAGAAAACGCACTCCCAGGACACAAGCCTATGAAAGACAGGCTGACGCTCATGTTCTGTCCTAATGCTAGTGGGGATTTCAAAGTGAAGCCATTACTAGTGTACCATTCTGAAAATCCCAGAGTGTTCAAAAAAAACAATGTTATGAAGAGTAAATGGTGTGTGTTTTGGAGATCTAATAATAAGGCATGGGTCAAGAGGGAAATTTTCATCGAGTGGTTCAATGAAGTGTTTGGCCCTAGTGTGAAGAATTACCTCCTGGAAAAGAAATTGGATCTCAAGTGCCTCCTAGTAATGGACAATGCACCTGATCATCCTCCAAACTTGGATGACCTAATTCTGAAGGAGTTTGGGTTCATCACAGTAAAGTTCTTGCCCCCGAATACCACTCTCTCCTCCAGCCCATAGACCAGCAGGTCATTTCAAACTTCAAAAAACTCTACACCAAAGCAATGTTTGGAAGGTGCTTTAGTGTGACCTCAGACACTCACTTGACCCTAAGAGATTTTTGGAAAGAACACTTCAGTATTCTCCATTGCATAAGCCTTATAGGTAAGGCTTGGGAGGGAGTGACTACCAGGACTTTGAACTCTGCTTGGAGAAACTTGTGGCCAGATTGTGTCCACAAGAGGGATTTTGAAGGGTTTGAGGCAGCCCCTGATGAGCCTATGTCAGTTGTGAACACTGGGGAGTTCCATGGGGTTGGATGTGAGTTTGGAGGATGTGGAAGAGTTGGTGGAGGACCACAATGAAGAGCTAACCACTGAGGAGCTGCAAGAGCTTCAGCAGGAAGAGCAACAGATTGCAGCTCAGAATCTTGCTGCAGAGGAGGAGGAAGAGAGATGGAAGAAGGTGCCTTCTTCAGAAGTTAAGGAGATTTTTGAAATGTGGGGTAGGATGGAAAGATTTATGGAGAAACATCACCCTGAGAAGGATGTTGCAACCCATATCGGCAACTTGTACAGTGACAGTCTTGGCCCATTTTAGGGAAGTTTTAAAGAAACCGAGCTCTCTGGACAGTTTTTTTGCGAGACAGGACTCCAGTGACTCTCAAGCTGGTCCTAGTGGCATTAAGAAACAGAGAAGAGAAGTAACCCCAGAAAAGCACTTGGTTAGTTTAGTTAGTTAGTTTAATATGTTTATTATGCACCCCATACCCATCCTGTGGGCGGTAGTCAAAAGATTACAGAGGTACATAATTGGTCCAGGGACTGGACTCCAAAGTTTTGATAGCTGAGCAAGTTACAAAGGTAATGAACTAGATCTGGTCATAATCATGACCAAGTTACAAAGGTAATGAGCTCCTGGTTGAGCTGGTCACACTCATGAATAATTGCAAAGGTAATGAATCATAAACACATTAATCATGAGAATTTACAAAGGTAATGAGCTCCAGGTAGAGCTGGTCACAATCATGACAAGTTTCAAAGGTAATGAATGATAAACACGTTATGACATGATTACAATCATAGACAAATTACAGAGTAATGAGTAGTTAACAAACATAGCAGGGAATTCATCCATTGCCTCAACAGATGTTGCTAGGTGCTTGTCTCTCCTCGGCAGACAGCCATTGCAAACAGCAGCAAGTTGCCCAGGGATCTGCTGCTTGCACGAGTACCATCGACCCTCCCCAAGAGGTCCAAGAAGCCAGTGACTCCGTTAGCAGCCCGATGGAGAGCTGTCCTAGGGACTTGTCAGTGTCCTGGTGGACGCCAAGTTGATTGAAGATCCCAGGCCCTCGTGTGCACGGATGTTGAAGCTTGAGGAACTGAGTACACACTGCCTGTGGCACACCTGACAGCTGCCTCGCGGTCGAACTCCACGATGCTGTCCCTGTAGTGGAAGTTCCTGTGAGCCCGGCACTCCCTGCAGTGCCATTGCTGACATCGTGGGTTAGGGGAGAAGTACCCTCTACAGATGGGGTGGCGCTGGGAGTTGGGAGGGTGAGGCGGGGGAGACGCGCAGGGGTGAGGCGTTATGAGAGGGTCACTGTTTACTACACACGCCCTCTCCCTCCCCCCCAGCGGAGAGGGGGGGAGGCGCTGACTGGTCCTGACTCAACAACACCAAACCCTCTAAAACTGCACAACACTTCAACTATTTATGCTGAAACGATGCACTGGGATGTCCGTTCGCTGCTCTGGTATCTTCTCAAAGCATTCACACTGAGTTCTGTTAAGTAGGGACCTGGTCATCCTCTTTGACCAGGAGCTATCCTTGAAAATCACGCAGCTAGCCCGCTACACAACCTGCCGCGTCGGCCATGCCAGCAGCTGTGAAAGCTGCTGAGGTGTTGATGGAAGGGGATTCCCCTTCCAAACAGTAATTCAGTCTCTCTCCTCCTCCAGTCTTCCATACACTAAGAAGAATCGCCAATAAAGGTAAGTGTTATGCTGTTAATGTTTCATTCATCATGTCCCATTGTATTGTTTATGTACTACATCTATATTTCATGTAAAAATTTTTTTTGTTTTATTACTTCTGGGTGTCAGGAACGGATTAATTGTATTTACATTATTTCTTATGAGGAAAATTGATTCGAAAATTGTCTATTTTGATAATAGTCCCACTTCCAGGAACAGATTAAGGACGATAATTGAGGGACCACTGCAATTCTTCCAGAGCACTCTTAGGGTCAATTCAGAGTCTGAGGTTGTGTCCAAGCACCTTTGAAACATTGCTTTGGTGTACAGTTTTTTGAAGTTTGCAATGATCTACTGGTCCATGGACTGGATGAGAGGAGTGGTGTTAGGAGGCAAGAACTTCACTGTTACAAAACTGAATTCCTTAGACAATTGGTCTGCCAAGTCTGGAGGATGAGCAAGAGCATTGTCCATTAACAGGAGGCACTGGAGTGGCAATTTACTATCCAGGAGGTATTTCTTCACACTTGGGCCAAACACTTCATTGAACCATTCCAGGAAAATTTCCCTAGTGATCCATGCCCTACTGTTAGCCTTCCACATCACACACAATTTACTCTTGACAACACTGTTTCTTGAAAACACTGTGATTTTCAGAGTGATACACCAGTAAAGTCTTCACTTTGAAATCCCCACTAGCATTACCACACAACAAGAGTGTTAGCCTGTCTTCCATAGGCTTGTGTCCTGGGAGTGCCTTTTCCTCCTGCGTAATGTAGGTCCTCTTTGGCATTTTCTTCCAAAACAGGCCTGTTTCATCACAATTAAACACTTGTTGGGGTTGAAATTTTTCAGCCTCTACATAACATTTGAATTCCCTCATGAATTTTTCAGCCGCTTTTTTGTCTGAACTGGCACCCTCGCCGTGCCTTACAACAGTGTGTGTGCCACTTCGCTTCTTGACTTTTTCAAACCAGCCTTTGCTGGCCTTAAATTCACCTACATCAGCACTTGTTTCAGGCAGTTTCTTTGAGATCATCATGCAACTGCCTTACCTTTTCAGTTGTTTGGGATCTCTGTTTGGTTATCGCATTCATCCCTTTCGTGACATCAGCTTGCACAATTTCTTTTCTCTGATTGTTGATGGCACCTTCCCGTACATCCTGCCAAGTTCAGCAGTGCGTATGCCACTGTCACATTTTCTTAGGATTTCTTTTTTCAGTTCTGTGTTCCTCACTTTTTTACCATGCACTGGCACTAGGAGCTTTTTTTGGGGCCATGGTCACTTATTTAGCAGTCACACACAATAAACAAGTGGCAAAAACAATGGATTATTACAAAATGTTTCATATGATCTGGCAGGATATGTTCACTCACCGAGAAACAACGCTACACTGGCTGAGAATGGTGTGGGAGGCAGCTTTGTCTGCGCGCTGGGCACTGGACAGGTTCTGTACAATTGACGAAACAACCAAAAAATTGACGAAAAAAGTCGGCCAAAACCGAAATCGGTGATAACAGAGATCGACAAAAAACGGAGAGTCCACTGTATATCGTTTGCTTCTCTGAGGGATGACTTAACAGGCCCAGTGGTAACTCCGGGTAACAGGTACCGTAGACATTGGCATGGTAAATAGGCTAATGGTTAGTAATATATACCAGTACTGTATGTAGAAAACTTTGAGAACTTGTAATCTATATTCTGTACTGCATAACCTTCAAAATATTTGTTTTCACAGGAACTGGCAGATATCCGTAAGTCAGGAATTAAATCCTTCAGGGACATACAGGTGGATGAGAGCAATATATTAACATGGCAAGGACTTATAGTACCAGTAAGTGTCAATACTGTATGTGAACCAAAATAGTTTTAGCATGTAGTTACTACATTCATTATTTTAGTATCTATATTGAGCCATATATGCTGTGCCTGATCATTTCTTAGAAACAGGTTTGCGGTTCATTATTTGCATAACTTGAAGACAAATAACGTACGTATTTGCATATTCTTATCTTTTTTTATAATACATTTTAAAGTGTGAAATTTTTATGTAATTCATAATTTTGGCTTTGCAAAAACACACATCTTGCTTTGCAGTTTTTTCATGTTTTATACAGCAGAATACTGTTATTTTATCACATGATATTGTTACTGTATTACTCTAAATATATTTACATTAACTTAAACATTTTAATAAAGAACTTCATGTTGTCCACTGTTTCTTGAAGCTGAATTTGGCATTAAGTTAAATTTATCATTTGATCTTAATATAATTTTTATATCTTAAATTGTATTACTTAATACTGTAAAGTGTATGGCAGTTATTATTGATAGAGGTAAGAGAGAGAGCAGGATTGCAGATGAACAAGGCTTTAGAATGTGTAGGGGATGTGTAGATCGTGTTTACATTGAAGTATATAAGTGAACAATATTTAGATAAAGGTAGGGAAGTTTTCATTGCATTTATGGATTTAGAAAAGGCATATGACAGGGTGGATAGGGGAGCAATGTGGCAGATGTTGCAAGTGTATGGAATAGGTAGTAACTAAATGCTGTAAAATGTTTTTATGAGGCTAGCGAGGCTCAGGTTAGGGCGTGTGTAGGAGAGAGGGAGATTACTTTCCAATAAAAGTAGGCCTTAGATAGGGATGTGTAATGTCACCATGGTTGTTGAACATATTTATAGGTGGGATTGTAAAGAAGTAAATAATAGGGTGTTGGAGAGAGGGGTGGGATTAAAGTATGGGGGATATCAAATACAAAATGATACTGTGCTTTTGTTAGATTCTAAAGAGAAGTTGCAAGGGTTAGCAGATGCATTTGGGAATGTGTGTATAGGAAGAAAGTTAAAAGTATATGTAGATAAGAGCAAGGTGATGAGGGTATGAAATGAGTTAGGTAAAGAAAAATTGAATATCACAGTGGAGGGAGGAAGTATGGAAGTGAATGTGTTCAGATATTTGAGAGTGGACTTGTCAGCGGATGAGTTTATGAAGGATGAGGTTAACCCATAGAATTGATGAATAAAAAAAAGGTGAGTGGTGCACCAAAGTATGTGTGGAGACAAAAAAAAAAAAAACGTTATCCGTAGAGGCAAAGAAGGGAATGTACGAGAGTATAGTGGTACCAACACGTATATGGGTGTGAAGCATGGGTTGCAAATGCTGCAGCAGGGAGGCGGCTGGAGGCAGTGGAGATATCCTTGCTAAGGGCAATGTGTGGTGTAAATATTATGTAGAGAATTTGTAGTGTGGAAATTTGATGGAATTACTAAAAGTATTATTCAAAGGTAGTTTAGTCATTTAGAGAGGATGGAACAAAATAGGATGACTTGGAGGATGTATAAATCTGTAGTGGAGGGGTAGGGGTCATTCTAGGGAAGGATGGAGGGAGGGGTAAAAGAAGTTTTGTGTGCAAGGGGCTTTGATATGCAGCAGGCATGTGTGAACATGTTAGATAGGAGTGAATGAGATGAATGTTTTTTGGGACTTGATGAACTGTTGGAGTGTGAGCAGGGTAATATTTTGTGAAGGGACTCAGGGAAACCGGTTAAGCCGGACTTGAGTCCTGGAGGTGACTGCACTTTAACCCTTAAACTGTCCAAACGTAGATCTACGTTTTTTCAACATTTGAAAGTATGTAAAAAAACGTAGATCTTTTCTTTTTTTTACATTTGAAAACGTATAAAAAAAACTTTGATCTACTTTTTTTTTGTTATATGTATTTGAAAATATGTAAAAAAACGTAGATCTACAGTTTAAGGGTTAAAGGAGGGGTTTGGGATATTGGCTGTTTGGAGTGACATCTAAATAGAAAAAAACTGTTGTATCTGAGCACCTCTGCAAACACAAGTGATTGTGTGAGTAATGGTGAAAGTGTTTCTTTTTCTTTGGGTCACCCTGCCTTGGTGGGAGACGGCCAACGTGTAAAAAAAAAAAATGCAATGACTTTAAAACTTGAAATTTTGGAAAGTTTCCAAACAGTTGATAGATGTGGAGCTCTCGGAGGATGTAAATAATGGTGCATGAATGCCGTAATAGTGAATCAGGGAGCCGTGTAAATGAATTTCTGGATGTAATTTGCATTGTCCATATTAGGGAAGCACCATAGAGCGGGGCCCTCCTGTACTTTTTTTTATGCCCTTTCTTTTGTAGGTAACTACTAAATATTTTTATTCTCATTTTCAGGAAAATCCCCCATACAATAAAGGAGCATTTAGGATTGAAGTGAACTTTCCTGCAGAATACCCATTTAAGCCACCCAAAATAAATTTTAAGACAAAGATTTATCATCCTAATGTAGATGAGAAGGGGCAGGTGAGTTGAGCTGATTTAAGAGTTCACTCTTTCACTGTTGTGATGCTTGAAATTTAAAACTAATAGCCATCTTAATTAAAAAAAAAATCTGAATAGCTAGAAATTTTTCCAAAATTAATGAGATCAAAATTGGAAAATTCGGTGCAAAACTGGTATTCTGGATACATTTTACACGAGCAATTTTGCTCACTTTGAGGCCTATTTTAATTTAATTCCATTGCTGAATTTGACCCATGTCATAGCTATTCAACTATCAGATCTACCCTATAAAGTACACAACTGTCAATAATTTGGCCAGTTTTACACAATTCAGTAAATTCCAATATAACCCTTTTACTGTTGTGATCCCAAAAAATTAAAATTGCTGAATTGCAGTTTTAAATTAGAAATTTCTTCTGATGTGATTTCTGAAGTAGGGACACCAAAAATATGAAGGTCAGAATTACACAGGCGCAACTTTATCAGTTGGGGTGCAATTTACGTATTGGCAATTTCACCCAGTTTGAGTCTTGTTTTAGGCCAATTCCATTGTTCAGTTTTACCAAATTTTTAGCTTTTTCACTATTAAACCTTCTGTTCTATCAGTTGTGCCAAGAAATCACCCATTCAACTATCAGAGCTACCCTATAAAGTGCATAAGTTGGTAATTTTACACAATTCACTGAGTTATCTTTTAACCCCTTTTAACCTGTATATACATGATTATATACACCTGGAAAATCCTAGAGGGACTAGTACCAAACTTGCACACGAAAATCACTCGCTACGAAGGCAAAAGACTCAGCAGACGATGCAACATCCCCCCAATGAAAAGCAGGGGTGCCACTAGTATGTTAAGAGACAACACAATAAGTGTCAGGGGCCCAAGACTGTTCAACTGCCTCCCAGCATACATAAGGGGGATTACCAATAGACCCCTGGCTGTCTTCAAGCAGGCACTGGACAAGCACCTAAAGTTGGTACCAGACCAGCCGAGCTGTGGCTCGTACGTTGGATTGCATGCAGCCAGCAGTAACAGCCTGGTTGATCAGGCCCTGCTCCACCATGAGGCCTGGTCACAGACTGGGCTGCTGGGGCGTTGACCCTTGGAACTCTTTCCAGGTAAACTCCAGGATCGAATCTTATCTTGGTGGTAATGACACCAAAAGTAGGAAAATTTGATGGAAAACTTATGGAATTACACTCTCGCGAAGTTAGCGGTCTCGGCGATATGTATGCATCGGCAATTTCGCCTAATTTGAGCCCTATTCTCGCCCAATTCCATTGTTCCAGTCGGCCAAACTCATAGCTATTTCGCTAGAACTCCATTTGCTCTATCGATTGATTACAAGAAACTGCCCATTTACTGATTTCAACTACCCAATAAAATGGTAAGAAATTGGCAGCTTGGCCAATTTCACACAAATTTTAAAAGATGCCAATTTCAGAATGGGGTCCAGAATAAACAAATCAGACATTCCTGGCGCTTAAATAACATTTTCTCTGTTTATTAGTCACGTCTCCAGGCCTCTTGTATTACTCTTGCTCTCCATTTTGAATTTTTATTCACAAAAAATAGAAGATTTACTGATATACAGACTACTGCATTATTGTAATAACTGTATAAATAATGTCAACCCATTTGTGACTGCATATTAAACTGGCCAGTTGGACACGTATTAGACGGTGACGTCATTTGTTTACTCTGGAACATCTGCAAAAATTGAACATTTCTGCTATATTAAGCTCAATTTCAAGGTACTTTTTATCATGAAACTAACTGAAATTATCTCTATTTCTGTAATGTACCTTCCATTCTATATCAAATGAGACCAAGAATACAACCGTTAATACCATACAAAATACACCTCAAAGTCGGCGTTTTAAACTAAAAACATGGTTGAAGTTTTTTTTTCTCATGCACTGCGTACTGCAGGATTTTTTTTTACACTGTGCACACTGACCACACATCCATTCTCTCACCTGTAGATCTACCAGCTTTCTCCCGCCAGATTTGAAGCCGCTAAAATTTTGGTGTAGTACTACGGCATCAACACTGGCTTGCAAGCTGTAGTACTACGGTACTGACAGTGAAAGGGTTAACAACAACAGTCTCCTTTTGAATAGGATCAAAGCTTCCTGATGGGATAAAAAAAAAAAGTCATTGCACATAAAAGTTTTCTTAATCGTGTACAACATGTCATTCTTATTGGGCCTTGTCTGAGAAGTGTAGCCTATGTAGTAGCAGGATAAATCTCTGAGAAATGAGATCACTGAACATCAGGGTTCATATAAGGTGATCAGATGACTAGTGTGATTAAATATTGCAGTTTTTTTTTTTTTTACACAAATAATTTCAAAGCCCAGCCTTAACTGTGGTGTAACTAACATGTTTACCTTTGTATGCTGGCAGTATCTTCTGGTTTCCATCACTAATTTGCATCAGGATTATCAAAATATAGTTCAAAGAATTTGTTCTGTGGTGTCATTCCCAGGGTACAGTTGGGCTGGATTCCAATGTTTGTGTCATCAGATTGATTTAGGATTGGGCATGAAATGTGCATCCTCCAGTGAATCCCAAATGCAGTCTGGTGGTGATTGTTCGATATTTGTGGCTGGTTGTGTAGTGGTTAGTGACTGTGACTGTTGGGGTGTGGGGCAATGGTGCTGTGCATCTTCATCCCACCCACCACTGCTACATGCAGTGCCTGCATTGCTTACAGCCCGTACCCATGTCATTCAAAGCACCATTATCTCATTATCCCTGTTTATCACTGGTGTTGTGTGTCTGGATGGGTATACCACAGCATGTGGCGCCGTATATATTGCTGCTTGATAGGGTAATAATTGTCATCGTTATCACTGGACTGTTCATCGATTGTAAGGAAATCAAAGTCCATATCACTATCACCACTGTTACTCAATCTGTACCCAAGCCACAGGAGAATATGAGCTTTTGTTTACAGCATGAACACATTCCAGGGTTTTCAAACACCATTTCTGGTCTCTCCCACATCGCTTTCCGCTATTAAACGTGTGAAACTATAGAACTCATCCTTAGTTTGGCAATCCTTGTTGGAACTGTCACTGGAGTTATAACTCATTGAATTCACCTGGGAATGAGGCTTTTGTGTTTGCGTGGCATGGTGAACAAGGCATACTAAAGATGGCATTCCCACAATGCACTGTGGTGGCCCCAGTTTTGTTGTATACTATTATGCACATTGACTGCACAGACCCATTCACTTGTATGTAGGCTTACCAAGTCCTTCGCGCCAAATTCTGAGCTGCTAGAATTAATGCACAGATCCATGAAAGCGATATTGGTGTCGGTAAGAGATAATGAAGGGTTAATATATTTCATCTTCACCTCAAATTCTATCTTCACTTCCTAAGCTTATTTTCTTGGACATCCCTGCATATTCTTTACTTATATCACTCCTATAATTCTGGAACCTACACCTATCTTGCCACCCTTTTCTTTTTTCTCATTGCATTCCTTTCTGCCATACTTTCCTTCCTTAAGGAAAATGATACAGGACAGTGTGCAGTAAATCGAGCTTTCCTATTTTAAACCCCTACTTGAAATAAGTTTTTCCCATCATATATTTTGTTTTTGGCTATTATGCAGCATTAACATTTAGCCATCTTTGGGATATATTTGTGGTATTTTCCTTTTAAGTTTTACTGACTATAGATTTACTGCAAGTGGATTTATGGTTTTGTGTGACTGATCTTTTAGCGATATGGCTTTAGTAAACAGACAAGTTTCACAGATGTATTATTTACAACTGTATGCATACAGATAGTAAATGTGTATATTACTGGAGGTGGTAGGTTGGTAGGCAGCAACTGGGATATCCAGGAAGACATTGCCATCCTGTTGTACAAGTGTGAGATGGAATGCCATTAATTGGTTTGCACTAGCAGGATTGCTGGTCTTTCTTTTGTCTCATGAAAATGTAAACTGGCATGTAAACCTTAAAAACCTTTACTTAAATTCAGTATATATTTATCTCTACTTTCCCATTTCATAATACAGTAATTCTTATTTGTGTAATAATTCCCAAAACAACTGACATGTAGTGGATTGTATTTGTATGCACATATAAGAGTGCTCATACTTTTTCAGATTTTTAATTAAAATTTTTGTCTTTGGTCAGGTGTGTCTCCCTATCATTAGCGCCGAGAACTGGAAACCTGCAACAAAAACGGACCAAGGTGAGTGGTCATTGTTTTCAGGTTAATAGTTAATATACAGTATTTTGTAGTTTCCTTTAGATACTAAGTTTCCTCTCACTTTTCCTTACTCGATTTCCCTCCTGTATCCCATAACCTCCCCCTTTTTGCCTTCTCTTCCTATCCCTCCTCCTTTTCTCTCTTCCATGCCTGTCACCTCTCCAGGTTAACATAAAGCCAGAATTGTAAAATAAGCCACATTTCTTGTTTTATTTTTGCTCCAAAAACACTGAACAGTCATTTTACAAAAAAGTAATACAGCCTCTCCTCATTTAACGACGGAGTTCCATTCCTAAGACCACATCATTAAACGAATTCGTCGCTAAGTGAGGAGCATACTATAATGGCAGTGGGTTTGTTTCAGACATCTTTGATATTGTTTTAATGTCACCTTTGCACCATTTATAATACTTCTGTTATCTGAGATTGTCACTATTCCTATATGGTACAGTATAATTTACAGTTAACATAAAACGAGAATTGAAAGAAAAATCCTGCCAAATCATGGTAACCCAAAGAAGAAAATACATTCACAAACATTCACTCAATTACCATGTTTCAAGGTGTTTGCTGACATTGCAGTCAAATTACCCCTCCGGTTGCAACATCCCTACTTACCACATGCATAAAATAGTTACCTTTCTTAAGAAATCATTTGTCTAAAGTATTTAATTTACAAGTGCAGACCATTGTAAATCTTATGTCTAGGGTTTACCACTTAATTTTGCATTTTATTAATCGTCAAATTTGTTATTTTTTATATGACCATTTATACACTAAATGGTAATATAAAAAAAAAAAAAAGGCATGATCTGAGATTTGGCTGCAGAGGCAGATTTCTCATCTCTTGACGAATGTTTACCAAAAAAAAAAAAGAGCTTACCACACACAAACCATATGATTATGTATATACAGACAAAAAAAACGAATGAGAAAAAAGAATGTAGAAATACAATATTTAGTCATACTTCATCTGACCTGGTGTGTGATTTTCTTTTGACTTCATGCATGACATTGAAATTGAAAACGAACCATTGGGTTTCTCGTGCCTAAATCTGGTGTCTCTTTATTAAGACAGCAGATTGAAATTGTATTAAAAACATTCCATGTTCATAAGTCATTGATTCCATCAGCTACCTATCTTCTACTGCCTTTTCTTAATATCTAAACAGATAATGGAAGAAAAAGGTTGTGATTCAAGAACCCCTCATCGATATTAATGAATCTTCATTGAGGGATGAGATCATTTGGAAAAAAAAAAAAGTCCATTAACCAGAGCTTTTGGAAGTTTGGTGCACATCTGATCTCTTCAGCTGTGGATGATGGATAATTGACTAAATATGCATGCATTCGTTCGCGTAAGGTATGAATATAGTGATACTCAAATTTAACATTGATTGCATCAATTGCAGTGATTGAGGCTCTAATCAACCTTGTAAATGAGCCTGAACCTGAACACCCGCTTCGTGCTGATCTTGCCGAGGACTACACGAAAGACCGTAAGAAATTTATGAAAAATGCGGAGGAATTTACAAAGAAGAATTCAGAAAAGAGGCCAGCAGACTAACTACCCTCTTCATGTGTAGTCTGTAATTTACAAAGGCACTTTGCAGGCAGACCTTTTTTATAAATAAATTTTTATGTTTAGAGATAAACTTATTTACTATGTGGGGCATTCCCCTAGGTGCTGTATGACCCCTACAAGTTTAGCACTCCTCCTATAAATGTAATGATGATAATCACCAGATGGAAGTGGTACTTTGGTGTTTTAATTTATTTTTCATTATATTTCCAGTTATACTCCAGTGCACTTGTGCTATTACATAGTTTTTGTTAAAGACACTAAAGAATTCATTGTAGGAATGTATTTTTGCACTTGAGATTCCCACGGTGTCTTGAATAGTTAAGTAGATTTTTTTTTTTCTGATTTGGCACTTTCCTTGGTGCCTTTTTCTTTAAGACTTAAGCATTATATCCTTTTAATGTCTTAAATTTACCTGTATAAATTATTTAATACTCAATAATGTACTAAATGAAAAGAAATCATATCCAGTGTGTGTGTCCACAGGTTGGTGATAGTAATACACTAGCTGTAATTCTCTTTGTAGGGGTTGTTACAGCATGTACTCCATGTAAATGAGAACAATATACATGCAGATGCAGGAATTCTCAAGTACATTACATTTCAATACAAACATGTTAGAAGAATGAATATGCACCTTCTTAATCCTAGGTAAAGTTCAGTTATGTGCCAGGCTTAGGTAATCTTGACGAAATTAAATTCATCTTGTCCATTAGTCTGCCTGTTAAGTGTCCATACTTTTAGAATTGTCGACCTCCAAAGTCTCGCTGCCTCCTTGGTGATATTTTTAAAATCACTATTATGTAGACTTGTATTTAGGTTTACATATGGTAACGACAATGGACTTGTAAAATTTAAAAAGTAAATTGTATGGTTAATGTATAAATGCTATGCCATATCTTCACACCATATCTGTGCAAGATAGTTTTTCTTGGGAGATGTGAGCCTTTTCTTTTATGTCAATAGAATTTCAGTTTGTACCATAGTGTCTAACACAACTGTGCTTGGTCTTAACAATCCATTTAAAAAATGGATTTGTCACAGATTGTGGGTTGATCAAACATGGAGGTTGATATTTTAGCTGATAAAGGCATGAGATACTCTTAATATTAAATAGCAAAATATAAAGTACAGTGTAGTTATTAGCTTGCCTTGAAGAGCTCTTGTAAAGAGTTAAGGTTTAACGAAATAGTTCAATGATATGAAATTTTTCACAATTGAAAGGTTAATTAGACATAATGCTTTGGTCTGTATTGATTTAACACCAGGATATATCCATATGTTTTCCATTTTGAAGTGTTTAATGAGTATTCTTAACACTTAAATTGGTGGCATCAACACACTAGTCACAATTCCCTTTTGAGAAACGCTTGCCGTATTCCAATGTATGTTAGTGATGGAAACCCTCCCATACATTCCAGCTGGGTGGGCTATAGATTTTCACTTGGTTTCAGCATTGTATGAAAAATGCAGGAACTGTGATACTTGAAGGTAATGCTTTGAAAACAATCTTGCTATAGAATGAATCCATAATTTTTTATTGTAAAGTGGGTTATAGGGAGTTTTTGCAAAACTGCCAGCTTTTAGACATGTGTAATTTGTTACTTTTCATGAAATGTATAGATACTTTTTCTTTAAGTCTCCTCATATTTATAAGAGAATTTCATGGATGGGATGATTGTTGATATGCTCTGATATGCATATTGATTTTGTCCCCAGACTCTATTAACATAATGCAGGATTACAAGCTTGAGGTATGTCCTGTTAGCATCTGTTGAGGAGGGAGCCATATTGGCTGTGCTTATGGTTGGTTTGTGAAAGAATTCTTTTTAAAGAATGGTTTGATAGGTGGTATGCAAAAAAAAAAAAAAAAAAAAAAAAAAAGTTCATATTAGTTATTTGGCTTTTTTGTTACTAGTCTTTGAATTTGCAACATAAAAGTAATTACATAAGATTTGATTATATGCATCCGTCGCATGAAACTGCATAGTGGTTTCTTCAGGTAAATGGTTACATTTTTTTTAAATGTACATTTCTTTACTGTACTGTGTCCAAGAGATGTGAGCCTTGTTTGTTCTCTATGGAAGCAGGGGAGTATTTTGCCATCCATGATCATGGGACTCAATTTTTTGTATAGATTCAGTATTTGTGTTAATTTTCAATTATTCATCTACTAGAGGTGGACATGTTTGTTATTTGAAACATTTAGCTTTAGGCATGTGTGTCACCTATACTTTGAATAGTACTGTGCATATTTATTTAAAGAATTTATGTATTATGAAGCAAAATGGAGTAGCCTCCTATTTTATTCATTTCCTTAACAATTTGTAACTGAAAGGAGTCTGTATCAACATCCAGGTACAATTTTAGTATCTTCAAATACATTACATAAAAAATTATCTGTATGATTTAGTTATAATTATTGCTTTTGTAGTCTCATAAGTTGCATATATTTCAAGATGTCTGTCTGCATAAGCCAGCTGTGTTTAATGAAGTCTCCTTTAGGATTGATAACAATGAAGAGGCCTTTTATTTGGTTCGTCAATCCCTCTGGAGGTATACATGACCCTCCTTAATGCAGAGCCTCTTAAAGGTTGTGCAGATACCTGGTGCTGTATTTGTTTCAGTTCTTTCTTCATACTTTGTTGCCAAGGCACAGGGATTGTGGTGGCAAACTACAAAGGTAAGCTTTAGGCTCTGAGCCTTTTGGTTGTAGTTTTATGTTCTCTCTCTTCATCTCTCTCTCTCTCCATCTCTCTCTCTCTCTCTCTCCATTCTCTCTCTCTCCATTCTCTCTCTCTCTCTCTCCATCTCTCTCCATCTCTCTCTCTCCATCTCTCCTCCATCTCTCTCTCTCCTCTTCACTCTCTCTCTCTCTCTCTCCCTCTCTCTCTCTCTCTCTCTCTCTCTCTCTCTCTCTCTCTCCTCTCTCTTCTCTCTTCATTCCTCTATCTCTCTCTCTCCTCTCCATCTCTCTCTCTCTCTCCTCTCTCTCTCTCTCTCTCCATCTCTCTCTCTCTCTCCTCCATCTCTTCTCTCTCTTCTCTCTCTTCTCTCTCTCTCTCTCTCTCTCTCTCTCTCTCTCTCTCTCTCCCATCTCTCTCTCTCTCTCTCTCTCCATCTCTCTCTCTCTCTCTCATCTCTCTCTCTCTCTCTCCATCTCTCTCTCTCTCTCCATTCTCTCTCTCTTCTTTCTCCTCTCTCTCTCTCTCTCTCTCATCTCTCTCCTCTCCATCTCTCTCTCATCTCTCTCTCCTTCTCTCTCCTCTCTCCATCTCTCTCTCTCTCATCTCTCTCTCTCTCATTCTCCCCTCTCATTTACATTTCATCATCTCTCTCTCCATCTTTTCCATCTCTCTTAAATCTCTCTCTATCTCTCTCTCTCTCAGAAGTTCATTTGCTACCAAGCTTGAGTGTTGACATTTCATAAGGTTTTTGGCTTAAAATATTATATATTAGTACATTGTAAAATCCATCTGGTCATCATTTCTAACATGGGCACAAAATATGAGTGTAAGTATATGTCCCAAATGAAAACTCCTTATAGAATATAAGAATGGAGGAACACTGCAGAAGGCCTACTGGCCCATGCAAGGCAGGTCCTTATCAAAACGACCTCTACCCAAAGCTACCCAAGAAATAACTCCCGTACCTGATGGCACCAATCAAACCCAGCCCCTCCCACTCATATATTTGTCCAGTCTCTTCTTAAAGCTACCCAAGGTCCTAGCCTCTATCACCCCACTGGGAAGACTGTTCCACGCATCTACAACTCTGTTAGAAAACCAGTACTTACCTATGTTCTTTCTAAATCTAAATTTATCCAACTTAAATCCATTATTTCTGGTTCTTACCTGGTTCGACACCCTCAGTACTTTATTAATATCTCCCTTGTTTATGCCTGTCATCCACTTATACACTTCAATGATATCTCCCCTCATTCTACGCCTCTCCAGAGAGTGGAGATTTAAGGCTTTAAGTCTATCTTCATATGGGAGGTTCCTTACACAGTAAATCATTTTAGTCATTCTTCTCTGTATGTTCTCTAATGAGTGTATGTCCATCCTGTAGTAAGGGGACCAAAACTGAGCAGCATAATCTAAATGAGGCCTCACTAGTGATGTATATAGCTGTAAAATAACTTTTGGACTTCTGTTACTTATACTTCTTGAGATAAATCCAAGTAATCTGTTGGCCTTGTTGCACACACTAAGGCACTTCTGTCTTGGCTTTAGATTTCTGCTTACCATGACTCCTATGTCTTTTTCACATTCTGTATGATCAAGCTCTACTTCACCTAGATTATAGCTTCGAGGGTTATTTTCATTACCAAGGGCAAGTACCTTACACTTATCCACATTGAACTTCATCTGCCACTTTTCAGACCAAGACATTAATTTGTCCATTTTAAGACTGCATTTTTCTTCCACAGACAAGAATAGACCATGTCCAAACACCTAACCACATGCTTTAATATTAAGTACATTGAATGGTGACCATCTTTTGTGGTCAGGAAGCATTCTAATCATTCAGACCAGTTATATGTATTTGTCTTGTAATGAGTGTGGCATACAGAACTTGTTCTCAGGCAAGTGTTAAGTGGACACATCTCTCACATTTTCCTTTAGGACTGTTCTTCATCCTCGTGTCTTTATGCTTCTGTTAGAATTGGACAGATGGACTCAAATGGAACAGGATATTAAAGAAAGGTGGCCTCTGTCAAAGCTTTCAGTTGTAAATGGAATTTTCATCACAAAAAGCACCAGATGTAAAAAGTAGTTCATCAACTTGCACAACACTTGTGAATATAATTCGGTAAATGCCAAACTCAAATGGGGCTTAGCAAAATAAAACTTGCCTGGTTATGAATAAATATAAACAGTATATTTTGCAATATATGTAACTAGTATTTACATTGTTGATTTATTCAGTATTGATATTAATAATGATTTTTTATATGTAATTGTATAGATACTGAATATGCACCTGCATTACCTTGCTGAATTGGCTTTAATTTAGATGCCATCAAAGATTTTAAACATTTTTGGAGGCTATTTCAAGGTGCTTGTAAATTTTGTTTCAGTGTACAGCCCATGAAAATATGGATCTATTATTAAATAAAATTTTAAATTATAATAATGGCCAGTTTTTCATCACTAGGATAAGAAAGTTCTGTTCATTAATTTTCTACACCAAATGAATATTGGAATTGTCAGTACTTTCATATTGTCAGCAGTTTGAATAAAACAGTGCCAACAAATCAGGAATTGTTCTCGTTAGATGTAATGAACCTGTCCACTCATTCAGCTTAACACTTTTGACTGATTTTGTTGTATTGCTTTAGAAAAAAATTACAGTACAGAAAGTTAAATTTTCACAAGATATTTTTAAGTCCTTTGTGAAAAAAGCATACCTCGTTTAAAGGTACATGCAGCAAGTATAATACAGTATACTGGATCATAATTCTTTCAATAGTGTAATCTGGTACTGGTAATTTTTGAAATAATGAGCTCAAAGAGCTTTTAGCAGTGGTGTGCTTTGATTATGGTGTAATCTGATTACAATACCCTTTAAGCAGGAAGTAACCTGATCACTTTATAGTATGTTTAAAAATACACTGTGTATATAATTAACAAACTTGTAAAGCATCGTTATTAATACAGTAAAGAACAGAATGAGTAAATTTAATTATTTTACCTCAAAATGCCTCTTCAAGGAGGGCTCCTTGGCATGGTGAAGAGGCTGTTGGTCTGAGGAATTAGACCTTTTGGTCTCCTTTCTCAGACTGAATCTAATTACCACCCAATCTCCTCTCCTATCCCATTTTCCCCATCCCTTTTATTCCCTTCCTATTTTTGGCCTTTGGGATTCTTCCCACAGGCACGCTGGTTCCTAGGTAGAGGGAAGAGTACCGGGGTCCATCCCATTCCGTTGAGGTCCTTGACGGTGGTGTAGTTTGCCATGGAATCTGGATCGCCTGGAGGTGTCGCAATCCCTCTCCGGTCTCCCGGGGGGTGGCTTTGGGTGTCTTTCGGGTGACTGGTGTATCTCTGGAAGCTGCCTGTCGGATTCCAGGGGGTGGTGGCCAAAGGAGGTATGCTTCGTGGCGGGTGTCTGGTCGCCCTCTTTTGTTCAAGGTGGCTCAGTGGATGTGAGGTTGCTATCCTGGATTGCTGGTTTACTGGCATGAAGGGTAGGGTATGGTACAGGTTCCATGCCGCATCTGCACTAATTGCGGTGCTGAGGTCCTCTTGGGTGCAGAGGGGGAATTTTCGGCCCTTTTTTGCCTCCTAGGAGCTATACCTCCACGTTTCCTCCCCCCCCCCCTTTTTTTCTTTACTTTTAGAGACCTAACCATGGAACCCCAAATTCATGAACCTACTCCCTCTGGGCCCCTTCCTGATACTGCATCCTCTTCTGACCCTGCCTCATTATTTGACTATTTGGACATTTCTAATTCCTCTGTACCTCTTGCTGGTGCTGTTTCGTCACCCGCTTCAGGTACCGGGGTTCCATCTGACTCCTTTGATATGTCTAACCTCCACTCTTCTTTGACTATGCTTCCGGCTTCTCCCTCTACAGTGAGGGAATTTTCGAATTGCCTGCCTATCCCACATTGGACCGACTCCGGTCCCACACCAAAATGCCCACGACCATTACCTGATGATACGTCTTCACTTTCTTCTCATCCTACTAAGAAAAGGCAGGCACGTCATGCACTCCCTTTCCATGTTGTTTCATAATACACAATGGACTAAGTTTTTTACTCTATGACCGAGTTCCTCTACTGCCTACCTTTCCAACTATGTTGGTAGAGATATATCCTTTTGTGCTCTCAAGAGCAGTACACGCATCATCACTGTCCAGACTGCTAGCCAAGCTCACAATCTTTCTCTCCTTACAACTATCGATACTATTCCTGTAACTATTGAAAAACATCATTCCCTCAATTCTTGTAGTGGTATTGTTATTCTGCCCCATACCATTAGCCTTTGCTAACAACCACTATGTCCTAGTGGTCTTTTTTGATCTAGAGAAGGCATGACACCACTTGGAGGTAGTATAACATTCTAGCCCAAGCCCACTCCTTAGGCCTCCGCAGTAATTTACCAAACTTCATCACTGCTTTTTTGTCCGATAAACATTTTCGGGTCCATATTGGTGCCTCGCTTTCCTCGGACTTTGTACATGCTGAAGGAGTCCCACAAGATTGTGTCCTCAGTACTACTTTCTTTTAGCTATAAATGACCTACCTTCCATTCTTCCTTCACATATTTGGTCATCATTTTATATTGATGACTTCGCTATAGCTTACTTGAGTGCTGACTGTCGACTAGTAGCAGCCTCCCTTCAGGTTGTGATAGACAGTCTCTCCCATTGAACCACTTCTCATGGCATTAAATTTTCCAGTACGAAAACCCGATTCGTTACCTTCACTAGATGGCTGCTTATACCGGATACTCCCTTGTGCTTACACGATTCATGTATTCCGGCATGTGATATGGTCAGGTTTCCGGGCCT